GCGAGATTAGAGATTTTTGTAATCGGTAAGGCAAGTGGTAAGGGAGGATTATAATTTATTTGAGTCAGGTAGGTAAGAAAGGTGAGTAGAAAAATGTTCCCCTTCTTTATCGTACGTATTTTTACAATTACATTTAAGTGTGATCTTGACGCTAAGATCAATAGCAAGATTGCTATTGCAGGTGCGGAATTCGGGAAGCTGTGTTCCAAGGACTTCCGCTCGCACAACTTAAAGTAGGCTAACAAAATTTCTATAGATAGTGTAAATTGTGCTGCCAAACCTTGTTTTATTAAGTTTTAACTCAAACTGAAAAGAATCGAATTTGAGTTTTAAAAAGTTCTGTTGAACTGGATTTTTGAGTTTTGTTTTAAATGTAAAGAATCCGGATTGCAATCACTACTTCGAAAAAACTGTTCCAAATTTCATTTATTTATTTTTAAAGTTAGTACCTATGTTGATAAATTTTTTAAGCAATTCACAGAAATGCATTTTAAAAATTGTTGTAGATTTGTTTGCCTAATAGACTCGCATAATAATTTGATATATATAATGAGTTGATACAGCCCTAAATCAGAACTTGTCACTCAACACTGTTCCTGATTAATGACTACAACCACTCTGTCAGATAAGTGACAAAGAAGAGAGATAGACCAGCAATCTTTCACTAATTATATGTAATGAAATAGTATTACTATTTCTCTAAACAAAACTATTCAACTTATATATATTTTATAATTATCCAATATATCAAGTTCAGAAAAATACCTCCCAAACAAAATTTCTAGGATTTTATTTATAGATTTGGTTGGATTACCTGAACATTGATGAAAATATGATCATTTGTGATGAAAATTAACAAATTCTTGAAAGATTTTCAGTCAGGCTTGCGAAAAGTTGTGGGTTTGTGTCACATCTCAAAGTACCATTTCATCAACAGTATTTTCCAGTATAGCATTGTGAATTTAAATTGATCAAATATAATGATTTTATTTATTAAATATAACATATCAAATAAAAAATTTCATACACATACATCAAGAATGCACAGACAATTAATTTAAAAATAAAGTTGTTAAGCTTATAAATACTGAAAGCTTGTATATATAATTAGACACATGTGATTGAATGGCTAGTATAGCTCACAGGTCTACCAGCCAGTCTACCAGGTCAGGAAGTGCAGTTATGTGGGAGGGGCAAGAATGACCTACTCGTAGCAAACAAGTATTCTGTAAGACGAATCCAAGCAGATATTTCAGTACCAATTAATAAAACGAAAGACATCTACCATTATAATGGTCTAATGTAATAGTTGATCTGTTTCAAATTTCAAATAGTAACAAAACTACAAAAACTAAGTTACCTTAAGTTTCAAAGCTGATACAGGTGCTCAACTCTTTTATACTGTTAAGTATTAATAAAATAATTCTATTTTGCGTAGTAAAAAAATAATTGTGATTGATTTTTAAAGATTTCAAATTTAACTCCAAGAAGAAGTTCAATAATTAGAAAAGCCTTGAACTTAGCCATATAAAGTCAGTGATTTAATTCGATAATGAGGAGTATGTGCAATAGTTTAATTTTCGATGAGAAATAAAATGCCGGTATCTGGAGACAAATCTTTACTTAAATTTCTTTTTATTACCTACATACCTCAAAATGTACGTTGTTTTATCACACGTGCCAACGAATATATCGTGCTTCGTAATACTTGATTACTCGATAAATAATTACTGTGTTTGGCTTATTCTTCTAATAAGAAACTAAAATAGAATAGCTTCGAACAAAAAACAATTAAAATAAGATCACAGACCAAGGAGATAGAGATATATAAGTTAGGGATGAACTATACGAGTAAATATAAATACTAACTTGATACTTTGCTTACCAAGTAATTTAGTACTTTAGAAGCGAGTAACAAGTAGTATCGTGAAGTATTTGTATTGGTACTTGGTCAATCACTGAGAGAGTAACAAAAACTCGCGTGACCGTCAATCCGAACCAATTGTGCTGTGGTAATCTCAATCTCAATAATATAATATTCATGTGACTTCACTTTGAAAATAATAAATCAGACGGTTTTAAATGAATAATTTACAGCAAAAAAAGAATCGAATATTTTTCAAAGAAGGTGTCACAAAGAGTAAATTTTAAAAATATGACAAGTAAACTTCTTCTTCTTTTAAAAAATAATGGTGATGTGAACCAAAAAGTAAGTATTTACATATATTAAATAAGTTTCAGCTGCAGCTGTCAGTCTGTCTCATGAAAAATTCCCACTGGTGCGGCGTCCCTGTCATATGACAATAAGTATTGCTAACACCTATTTATTTTATGTAATCAAAGATATATCTGGAGAAAGACCTGCAAACAAAATGAGGAAGGATAAAAAAAAATAAAAAACTACAAAACTTTATGCCACTAGATGGCAGCACAAATTGTAGGATTTAAATATCATCAGGATTCATGACGTTAAACCAAAGAGAATAGAATTGTCAGTGTTGTTATGGATCTGATAATTCGGATTAATATTGAGTTGAAATTCAATTAGTTCGAGTTACGCAAACGCAACTCGAGTAATACCAACGAATCTTTGAATAACTTTATTTTTATTTGTATAAAGGAAAATGGAAACTAACGTAATAGAAGTGAGCATAGAGAAGGAAGTATTTAAAGAAAAAAGAATCTACAAACATTTACTTCACTAGACGGCAGCGCAAATGAGGAAGTATTAAAAAAAATTGAAATCACTAAAAAAGTACCTCCACTAGATGGCGACTCCAGCAAAAGTTGATTTTTGCAGGAAATGAATGGACCAAAGACAGTCATTTCCATTCCTTTACACTTTTAAAAACTGAAATTTGGAAAGTTCGAAACTTAGATATAAATACAAATACGAAAGGGTACAAATAGAATATGAGTTGTTTATTGAGTTTTGAAACCTAATTTACTTTTAAATATGAAAGAAAACTGGAACGATTGTCATGGAGAAATCAAGAACATACCGTATCGACCTCTAGTTTGATTTCGGAAAGTAATGTTTTTTTAATACTTCCTCATTGTAGGATCTAAATGTCAATGTCCTTAGTCGCATGCTATCTTCTTAAATGAATTCAGTAATAAATAAATACCCGATTAGTAATTTAGAATGGTATTATAGGCACTTAAAGGTGTACTTGATTTGATGTGATGTCTAGTCGCCATCTAGTGAGGTGCTTTTTATTGCTTTCTTTTTTTTTAATTCTTCTTAATTATATTTAATAATTGATTTTTATATATATATATATATATTTTCCCTTCCCTAATATACTGTACTCTTTGGTTGGTGTAATTCATCATATAATCTGCGTTGCCAGAAGGTTACTTTTGTAACCTTTTAGGTGATTTTTAACTCCTTGAGGTTACTTCGAGGTTACACGACACAAAAGGTAACTTTGTGGTAACTTTTAAAATTTCGCGGAAATGCTTTTCTATGTTCCCACCAGGGGACCTACCTAGTCTGTGACAGGAAGTGCAACCACAGAATCAAATCAAACATACTCTTCAATCGTCCGATTCGCTCGGCTAATCGTCTAAAGTTAATTACGCGATTCACTATCTTACCACCTGATGTTAAGGACAAGATGTTTAGTCCCAATTTTGGCCGCGAGCTGACTTATCTTGGGCGGACTTTATCTTCATTCATTCATTCTTCCAGTCAGTTTATTTTTATATTTTAAACTGTGCATTTGCATTATTGTTTTATCAGCTACAATATTGCAAAATCACTGACCCCTACAAATTAGAGTACTGTAATCCACGGTTTTTCATACCACTTAAAAAAAAGTATCTAAGCGTGTCCACTCAAGAATCCATTATTGAAATTGAAAAAGAAATTCCAACACCTAAAACGTAGATAACTGATTTTAGAAAATCATGTTTGTCGTTTTATATCGAAGCAATCAAACAGATCACACAACGTTTTATATTTTCGGACCCACCTTACGACATAATCGAACTAGTCACAGATCCTCAAAAAGCTCAATCATTTGAAACAAAAGACCTTACTTTTGTCGTCAATAGATTTCCATATTTAAGAAACGATTTAGATCTCGAAGAGCTAAATAAAGAATGGAAAATGCATGCACTGTTAGATTTTACTCATTTAAATTTAATCTATAAATACTCGATTACTGGAATAATGTGTTTAGGTTAAAAAAAAGTTCAGGAGAGTCTCAGTTTCCATGTTTAAAAAAAGTTATAATGCTTTTGCTGGTCCTACCCTAAGGGCTTTTCAAACGCCAGCGTTTTCAGCCAGCTCAAATTGATTAAATCGGACTATAGAAATAGGCTTGCCACGGAAACAATATCAGCTTTGATGGCTACCAAAGCAAATATTCCAAATGCCATGACATTTGAGCCAACAAAGCTGATGCTGAAAACTAGAATAAAATATAAAAAGGATGGGGAAAGCGAAGAAGGTACTAACTGATTACTAATTTATTGATTTTTATTTTGTACGTAATAATAAGAAAGCCATGTGATCTGTAAGAAAGGTCCTTGTGATCTATAATTTTTGTTTATTTGTGAATCTATTGTCTTTAATTACTGGTGTTCAGAAGAAGTAATTTTTATACTTAATAGCAACTTAAATATGGAGAAGAAACTTTTAAATGCCTACCCATAAATCTGTAAGTATTTTTTTATGCTTTTGGACATCTAAAATGTAAAAGGTTACTTTTCCTGTAAAAAGGTTACTTTTTTGCACATCGCAGGTAACTTTTGACAAGACCTCGCTGGCAACACTGCATATAATACTCTTCACAACTACTCTTTAAAATTCATTATGGCGTGCGTGACGTATTACAGTTTTTGTGACCATGTATGTAGCACATATTTAGCGTTTAAAATTAATTAAATTTTCTTGCTTATCTTACTATTATTTCTCAAATATTTCAGTTTATTATTATAACGTCAAATCAGTGTAAAATGTTGCATTTTATAAAATGTAGATAGAAGTTGTTATGGAATCTCTTGAAGAGTCGAATTGTCATTCACTCAGCGATAGCTTTTCTCTGTATGAACGTTACTTGAGAAGTTTCAATGTTGTTGATAACATAGTAGAAGATAATCAACACGATTCAAGCGAACGAGCATCTATAATCAACGACGATTACGAGAGTTCCACCAGTGGAGGTAACATTGATTTGTCGGCAGTTTATACAAACAATTTGTTAGATAAACAATGTGTATCAGCTGAATTACAATATAAATTACTCGATCCAAGTGTTTGCAAGAACATAGAGGATAAGGGATCTGACGTATCTTACATAAATATTGATGTTGCAAAAACTAAATCTAACTCTCTCCAAGCTGTGTCGTTACACGATAATTCATCAATTACCATAGAACGAAGTCTTCTGAATGATCAGTCTGAACATACGGACATACGTTTCTCATCTGAAGATTCCAAACCAGAACATTTCAAGCAACCAATTTTTATAACCTCTACTATGGAAAATAGTAACAATGCTGTCGATAGTGTACCAATGTTTCGTAACATCAGGCCCTCTGAAAACATGTTTAAATTACCCATTACTGAACTTTCATTCAATGGTACCATAAAGCATGTACAGAAGTTAAAACCAATAGTGGATCCAATAACTGCATTAAGTTCAAATAGTGCTTTAGTTACAGTAAGTGAAAATGTTCCTATTCATAATTTGGGATATAACTTGTTAAAAACTGATAATATAACTGACTATAAAAGTGACAATGATCAGCATGCTAGTAGTACATCTGATGATCAAAACACATTTGGGAAACAAAATAAAACTGAAAGTATTGGCAACTCTCAGTTTGAAGAATTGAATGGTAGAAAAGATTGCCCATTGTTAAATGAGGATGGTAATAGTGCAAAATGGAATTCTGAACAAAGTTACTCCTCACTAGAGGCTTCTTTTGACAGTGGAGTTAGATCCCCAGATATGTTTTCTGATGAAGATGTTGAAGTGACTCCCGAACCATTTTGGAGTTTTTTAAAAGATTATGAATTTTATGACAAGAAACGTGTTAAAAAGACTGAGGTAAGTTATATTTAAATAATTTAAAAATTATTTAATGTTATAATAATTTAAAAATTATTTAATGTTATTTTGAAATGATTTCAAGCATTTACTATAATATACATTGCAAATCTTTAATTGTTTGCTTTGTTTTAGCTTATTCTTCAAGGGGTACTACCTCCCCCATCAGTGACTGTTCTAAAAACTGATGTAACACAAATGCTGAAGAAATACTACTGTTTTTTACCAGCATTTAGTAATGATGAAAAAGTTACCATTCCTGAAAGTAATACTGTGACACCCACCAAAAGAGTATCTTTTGTTCATATACCCATTGAACTAGGTACATTAGTTCAAGAAACTGCATCAGAAAACGTGAATAATTCAACTATACTTGACAGATCAAAAAGTTCTTTAACAAAAAATAAAAATGATTCAGATATGGATGTAAGTTCTGATGAAAACAGAGGCAGTTTAAAAACTTGCACTCAGATAGAAGCTGCACAAACTCCTTGGCCAGAAGTACTGAAATGCAGACATTATGATATATAGTGAGTACAAATTATAAAAATTAACATACAAAAAAAGTTACAAAATGTTACTGTTACGTTATAATATTCAAATTATCATTATTTCCAAAAGCAATTGTGACTTCAAAAATTACATTATTCCATAAATCACTATCACAAATGTTGTATGTTTCAAGGGGATTGTGATAGATTTTAAAATTAGACCATTAGGCCACAGGTCATTATAGAATGATTAGTGAAGGAATCTAATGGACTTTTTATTATCTTGCTCTGGTCATGTCCATGATTCATAATGCATAATAATAAATTGACTAGTTTTTCATTACTTTATTAGTTAATACCATTCTTAATGGCATTAACTAATGCTTTTATGTAATTTGTTATACACTTATTAGTTTATCTATTTATTTTGCAATCTAGTAATTTTGTTGTCAATTAAAGTTTCCTTCACATGTCAGAAGAAGGTATATGAAATGCAGCAATTTTTCATGAAACAAGTTTCAAAAAATAAAAATGTATTTTTTTTTATATGACCTATTAAGTATTGGTTTTATTTATAGAAGATAGAATTCTAAAAGTACAGTTGTATTTACTGTTCATTTGGATTATTAGATGATTCTATGTCCTATTGTATCAATATGGTTGCATACATGCCAGCCAATTAATGGTTTGTTGGTTATCAAATGCAGCTTTTAATAACAAAAAACATTATTTTTTTTCAGTTATAATACAACTAAGTATTCTGAACAGTTTGAATGTCTCGCATTACGTTTTGGCGAGAGATTTGTAGGCGCCGAAACTGATACCAGTGTCAGTATTCATTCTGGGGGACTGCAGTCACCAAGCAGCGCCAGTAAAAGAAAAGCATTAAGGTTATTGTTAATTTATATCTAAGATTTCAGCTCAAAGCTCGTATTATCCTCAACCTATTCATAGCATAATTTTATTTTGTTTATTGATCCATATAAAATTATGCGATAAACCATTTATTTTTGAAATTTGAAATCATGGTTTTACATGAGAGTACTTGATAACAGAAATGTGCATAGTGCAACCGTAATATAGAATAAGTTTGGATTTGGAGTGCAATGTATTGTTTATTGTAACTTGTTTAAACAAAGCTTTTTAAATCTTAGACTAGCTCAAGCCAAGTCTCCAGGACGTCGCCTCTCGCACTTAGCACGTCGTCGGCAGACATTTTGCAGTGCGGCTACAATCAGCGAAAAGGCACAAACAACGGCATCTAAAATGGTCCTCATTGATAAAAAGTAGGTGTAATTTAGTATCATTATAATTATCATCGGCTTACTTAAAGACCCACTTCAGGAGCCCTGGCCTTCCTTTTGAATGGAATCAAATTAAATAGCGGAGAATGGGCCATAGGGATATGGAAGTCATCAATTTACAAATATTTATAAGCTAATTCACTTCTTAGCTTTTAAGTTGCCAGTTAACTTTAAAATTTAATATTGTGTAATTTTGATAATTTCTTACTGAACTTACTATAGATTTGTTTCAAGTTTCTTCCCACATAGAAAGCTGATAAACACGTCAGAGAGAAGAAGTCCCAGGAAACTGGTAATGCGTCGAACGCCTGGCAAGAAAACGCCACTGCGTAAGACTCCAGGAAAAAAGACACCAGCTAAAACGCCTAAAACCAAAAGCGGTGGTTCCAGTCGAAAGAAGGCAATGAGACGTCTACTGATGGATACAGAGAATATAACACGATCGCAACCGACTCGTGAATCTTTGAAGAGAGCACTTTTTGTCAGTCCGGAAGGTAGGAGAACGGTTCCGACTCAACCTAGTACTTCAGTACCATTGCAAGCTATGAAATCAAAGAGGGCATTGTTTGGATCTCCATCTACTGCTGAAACGAAAAGCTGCGATGGTATACAGAGCGACCAGTTCTTGAAGAGAAAACGCGATGCGTTGGATGATGAGCCTATGAACAACAGAAGCAAAATTGCAAAGAGTTTATCATTGGGATGGGATACAGTCGGCACCTCTCAATCGTTTTCGTTGAGTCGTCGAGCTTCGGAAGTAGTGGTGTCGAAAAGTATGGCGGAATTGAATGATCATCATAAGCAGGTAATTTTATATTTATTTACCTAGATTATTGTTCTAAAATTTGTTATACTGTTAGATCGCACACTTTCACAAACAAATGATATTTTCAACTAGCTTACCTCCAGTAACTTTGCCCGCGTGGGCCTGTATTATACATACCCGTGTATTATAATAACTGTATTATATAAACCCGTCGTTTAATTTAAAAGATCTCCATGTACAGAAAGCAATAAACTGAAATATGAATAGATAAGGCCTTTGTACTCTTTATAAGTCTAATCTTATGTGATGTGAATGCAATTAAACATTGTTATTATGTATTTTCGCATTTACAATTGACGATTTTATAATAAAGTACACTCGAGTTACACTTATAACTCAAACTACATTTAACTTTGTATTAAAACAATGTATCATCATTAATAATAATAATATTTAATATTATTTTATTTATTTGTTATCATTATAATATTCCCAGAATCGTGTTAAAGAAAATTTTTATGTAAAGAATCACACAAGCTGTATCAACCATCCAATCCAGTGTGCAATCTTAGTTACTTTTCTTTCGGTTGTTTAGATGGATTGAATGTTGAGAAAAATATGCTCACTTGTAACGAAAGTAAAGAGTTTTAAGATATTCATCAGTCTCATTAAACTCTTGGTTGTTCAATGGTCAGAGTAGTCTGTATTATGTATTTTTTATAGAATATTAATATAGCATTTATCATCATCAGTATATTATTGTCTCCACTTCTTGGGCACCTTAGTTATAGATGAAATCAAACCGAGCCACCATGACCCATCATACTAGCCTAGTGCGAATTGGCGGGTGTTAGCTGATAATCTGCATGGATAAGAATTTAACAAAATGATAAGACCGATTAGAAATTTTCAGAATTTTCGTTCGATGACAAATAGAATAGGCCCTCAGGTGTAATTTTAATTTGTAGTAGTAATTTTAACATATTTGTGTTATAGAAACTATTGTGGGCAGTGTCATCTGCATTGCGCGTGCACGGCATGAACATGTCATCTGCCGGGTTTCGTGAGAAGGCGTCTCTGTTGGCGCGTCTCACTCGCAAACTGCTCACGTTGCCGCCTCACGCTGCCCGTCTGCACGCACCCAACCATTCCACCTCTGATACTATGCTCAAGTGAGTATGATAACGATTCCAGTACTAGCGATTCCTGAACTCGTTCCCGAGCATATGCACGGCGGATAACGAGTATATATCCACTGCAAGGGCTCATGCCTTCCTTATTATTTAGGAAGATAGGCTATGAACCTCCACATTGGCCCATTGCAGAATGGGGGGTATTAACGAATATAAATGCACCTGGGAAAAACAGTTACAGGTGCCTTCGGAAGCAGCTTGAAGACTCCGTTTAGTTTATCTAACTACCAACAGAATGCATTTTTGTGACGAGCAAGTAGAAATATAAATGAAATATGCTAGTCAAAAGATTTCGATGTTTTATTGTATTGTATGCAAGGGTTAGGCGATTGATGAGTGACGATTTTTTTGTTGAATTTTAGTGAACATGAATTAGCATTTTAATTGCAACTATTTTATCTCATTCAAAAATATTTATTGTGATTTTACTAGGGTTGTATGATCATCTGTTATAATTTTCCACTCTACGACATCTATGTTCACTCTAATTGTTATTCATGCTAACCTGGAAATCTTTTTTTGGAAATATGTAGTTTAATTTGAGGTCTACATATAAAAATTATTTTTGCAGTTATAAAGTGCGATAAAGTGTGGTATTGCCGAATAAAATAAATAAATGATTAATTTTTGGTCACCCATCCTGTAGGTTGCTTATCAACATTGATCGCGCTTATCCACTAAGTTACCAAGCTACATGTCTAGTATATGCATGGGTGTCTGCAGAATCTTTAGCATAGTAAATGTAGATGCGCCAGTAATATAACTCAGTAGTAACATCAACTAAAATATTATAAATTTAAATATCGAACATGTTATATGGGAGCCCTTTAAATATTAATTTTATTTAGTATTCGTTTTTAACAGAAATACGTCATCTGGGAAAATTTAATCTGTCTATACTCCATTCATTATAGCATTAGACAGAATGAAAATAAGGTTCTTTTTATGGTATACTTTGTGACAGAATGTCAACAATCATGTTACTCTTAAGACTAACGGCTAATTTGCTACATATCCACTTAAATGCCAGCTGCTATACTTAACCGTAGTCTTTTAAGCTATATATTAAACAAATTTATGAGTATATGACTGACTTAAAACATTTAATAATTATTACAATAACAAGTGTTCATCTTAAAGAACCTAAAGAAGCAGGGTTAGATAGTTTCGGCATGATTCTCATGTCACTATAACTCTACCAAATTTAAAACGTTGCCTAATCCCTTCAAACGTTTCGGCAGTACAGCTTTTTAATTTTGTCAAATTATGATTTATTCATAATAGTCAAAATATGTAATCTGGGATTGTCATTCATTGTGAATGCTACTGCCTTTCTTGTTGTTTTGTAATTTTCGGTGATTGTGTAATTACTGTTTTATAGCTGTTTTCTTATAGTTTTGTTTTAGTTGTTATCTTTATGTTGTTAAGTTTTGTGCAGGCCCGAGTGGCCTACATAAATTACACTCTAAGCCCCCATGCCTACCCTCAACCATTGACATTTCAGGAAGTTTTTCCAATGTCTTCATCAAAAGTCTTACTAATTACACTTACAATTAGAATTTATCAAAACAACAGAAAGATAGTTTCAGTTTTATGTTCTATTTGGGCTTGGGAGTAAAATGCTGGCCTCATCTCAACCCCGAGGCACAGTGTAAATATAAGTATACAGTGGTGAAACTGCCTACAAGCGTTCGAAATCGCACGCACACATAAACACGTTCACCGACGAGCCGCCTAAGTGGACCTAACAGGACGCTCAGTAACGCGTAGCGCGTCGAGATGAGGGGTCACGTTATACGTTCCGCGATCGTTTTTATTTAAAAAATGAAGGAAAGATTAAGGAAAGGAGTAGGCTTATATGAAATAAAAAATAAGATTTTTGTATGATCTGGAAATATATTTTAGTCTGGAAATATATTTTAACCGCCCAGTTTTCGCATATGTTATTTCTATATCATGTGGTGATAATAGAATAATATAAGTAGAAATCACCGTCTGAACAAATGTGTATGTATATTGTTTGTTTGTTAATTAGTTATTACAATTCGATTGATTGATAATGTCAGAACTCCTTTTATATTTTGTAAAAGAAACATTCAAAACGACAACCCTATGGTTTCAATGGAGCGTAGGTATTTATTTTATCAAATAGGCTTAGTTTCTATACTGTGTCATTCTTATACTGTGCCCGAGGTATCGTAAAAAATGTAAAATTGCCCAGCTCTTTCAGACTGCCTAATGTTCAAAGTTTTTAACAAAACTAATATATAGTTTTTAAAATATCTTGAAAATAAAATGTTCTGAACTGCTGCTTCTATGACCCTCTTTTTTCTAATGTTATAATGAATAGAGTATAGTTAGTTGTCATGGTTCATTGATATGGTCTATAAGAAGGCTTATTAAATATGGCGATGGAGATAAATTATAATAAATTTGTTCTATTTTTTAGATTATAATCTAAAAAAAAACATTTGTAGAATAACATTGATCATTTAAATATTTAATTGACAACTCTTTATTAATAGAATTTATTACAATCATAAAGAATGTGACACGTCTTGAGAGATATGCTGTCAAAGGCAACTAATCACTGCATTATGTTTCTTAGGGTAGCGCGTCTTTACGTGTACCCAATCATTCAAGGACGCACCGTTGAAGATTGTTTCGAAGAGGAGAAAACAAAACTAGCAAATGAAGCGAAGAATAAAATATCAGGTTACATATCCGCGAGTGCATATCAGCAACTGAAGGTGAGACAGACACCAACTAGCACATTTACCTCACAGATCAAAGAGAATACGTGTAGCTCAGGATCCAATAAGCAAGAACAACCTAGAAGCAACTCGAAGAACATCTTACAAGATAAGTTAGTCAATATAGATTCCAACTCTAATAGTAGCAGTGGTTTAAGTTTGCTTGATAAAAATAATTTAAGCCTGTTTAAGTCAAATTCAATGCCTTCTTTTGAGGAAGCGGCAAAAATGAGAGCACGGAGACAGATTAGTTTTGATAATGTGGATTTTCCTAAAAGGTGACTCGTTTAAATCTTTAGTAAGATTGTAAGCCTATATTTATACAAAATGTAACATAAAAATACCCATTATAACTTTAGAACCTTGAAGCACACAGCAACAGATCAGACCAAATTTTTTCAACCAATTTTGAACGTAATTATCTGCATATTTAGACTTAGATTTGATTGAGTAATCTGGATTGTGTATTAATTTTATCTAACTTGCCGTCGACAATATCCAGTAAAAATTTCTGGATTGACTTTGACTTTTGGGTTTAAAAAATATTGACTATGTTGACTATCTTATCAATTTGTTGCGTTCTTCTTCTGGAACTGCCAGGGGTACAACAACATCAACGTTTTTGGGTTTAATGTATCAACATTTTTTTTTTCATTTTTATGTAAAGCCAACGCTGCAAGTTTGACGGGCAAATTTTTACCTTCTGTATTTAGCACGGTCGCCGAACATAGATAATTTTGTACAATAACTCGGCACTACATATCTCTTTCACCAGTCCGCAATTGCTATTGCGCTCGCACTGATGCATATAATATTTACGATATTTATCAGTCAGGCACAAAGGTGAACGTACAGAATTCTCTTTGTTCGGCGACCGTGCATTAGTAAGTATAGACACCAAATTCTATAACTTCGGTGTTGTTTTTTTAAACATAGTGTTGGGACTTAAAGTTTATATTTATTCATGAGTTCACAAAACCTATTTCGATCAAACCTTTAATGTCACTGCATTCTAAATTTTTCCATATAATGACATGAGCTTTTACAAAGATATACATAATACATTTTAATAACTGTTACAATTTTTAGTCTACTAAATGTAAATAAATGTTATTTTTAAAAGTTGCTCTTGGTAAGTTTATACTATGAAAGGTAGAAACAATTCCTGTGAATCAATATGATGTTGGAACATGAGCTTTTAACCATTTTGACCTTTGCACAAGTTGCTGAAATCTGCAATGGAATATCAAGCTTATATTTGAGCTTATATAGTATCCAATTGGAGAGGAATAAAACTCGGCTTTTTAGTTTATTAGTATAATTAATTAGGATATAAATTAATGTCGTCTGACTTAGGTCGTTATTGTTCTTCCTTCGCATAGATTTGTTGTTTTGTCACATAATTTTATTTTGTTATTTTGCCGGACTTAGCAGTTAGTATACCTATTATATTGTGTTAATTATTGTCAATATAGAAAAAAATATAAATAGTTGCCTTACACCGTTGACGATCAGACAGAATCCGACTGTAATGAGGTTGTATTTAATAAAAATATTAGTTCCCGAAATCAAACTAGATGTCGCTACTGTACTTTCTTGATTTTTCCATAAAATATAAAAAGAAAACCGGAAGGATTATAAGCCTTACGGTTTTCTTTCATGTATAAAAGTAAATTTTCAAATCTCAATAAAGAACTCAATCTTTTTGTACTTTTTCATATGTGTATTGATATCTAAGTTTCGAACTTTGCAAATTACAGTTTTTTAATATATTAATTAAGGAACGGAAATGACTATCTTTGGTCCATTCGTTTCCTGCCAAAATCAACTTTTGGTAGAGTCGCCATCTAGTGAAGTGCCTTTTAGTGCTTTATTTGTTTTTCTTAAAATGCTTCCTCATTAGTATTATAAAGAGTCCTTCTTTTACCCACGAGAAGCCAGTGGCATAGGTAATATACGTGTGGGTAATCGTGGGAAAACAGCTAGTCAATAATATTTGTATATTAGCTAATAAATAAATAATGGATTGAGACCAGAGATAAATAGAAGAGTTCGAATTCGATTTCGAATACGAAATTATTTCACTCTAAAAATACTTTGAAAAGTATTAATTGAAAACACGGGCTGACTGTCAAATTATTTAATGCCATTTGTTGTTCTGTGTATTAACACGACGAAAAGAGTTTTACTATAAAGGGCGGTGTACACGTGCCAGACGAGAACCTAGGTCACATGCTAGTTGGGATTTACTGTACTATTTTACGGCTCTATTTATAAATTTCTTTATTGACGTGAGTTGACATTAACATTGGAATATTATGCAAATCTTAGTATGTAATTCATTCAGTTTTAGTTTGGTGGCCATGCAAATTGATATGATGCAAGCAAAATGAATTTTTAACAATTAACTGTACATATGACACTTTTACTAAAAAATAGGTAAAGGATATACGACAATCGGCGACTAGCTACATTTATGTGCGATCTCCAGATTTTTTATATAAGCTTATAAAACATCATTTCCCTAGACATTATTTAGGAGCTTGTACAGCTTGGCGAAAAAAAGGCAGTGCGACAGAAAAAATCTGATGGAAGTGGTAGATGTAGTTAGTCCCATATTTTATATCTATGACTGAGTGGCGCCTTTAGCGTGATAATATTGTTATTACGTATTATTGTAAATTCGCTTTTCTTCTTCAGTAATATATACTTTGTAGTCAATTAAGAGTAAATGGTGTGCGTTTTAATGATGTAGTAAATGTGTTACTATTGCTGAGATCGATCTCGGATGTTATTATAAGTAATAAATTATTAAAATTTTCTTAACATTGGTATTTTTATTCGACCCCAAATTTGTTTTTTTTGTAGGTTCGAGTTTCAGTTTTTTTAATTTAAAAAGTAGACTTAATAAAAATAAAAATGCGTCATTGAACGCGGCCATTTTTTGTGCATCGTGTTCTACGACTGTAAGAGTATGTAAGAGTTGTGAGTTGACATGTAAAGCTAAGCAAGTATGTTTATCTCGTTCAAACAAGAGGTATGCTGTATGATTATAATAGGAGATAACTTTTTCAATTTCTTCGCACCTTTTGTGGTTGTATTATAATGTAACGCTACCACAATAAAGTTTATGCCGTTTTAAAACTCAATATGTACGGGTAAGTATAACGTGACTTATTAATATCTGACCCGACCTCTGACAACCGAGTAGCAAACATTAATAGGAAAACTAGAAAACTATAGACTCAGATCGGAGTCCTAAAGCAAAACTTACCAACAAAAAACCGTTTGGTAGTTTCAGTATGGTGTTATTCACCGATTCGAGCCTATAGCATTCTCCGATCTGGTTAAGCGATAACGACAGATGTCTATTGTGCCGAACTCCGAACAATGTTGGCAAAACTAGCAGTAAAACAGCCCCGCCTCATGAATCGATCTTCACTATGATTGCTCCATGACCTCATACAGCACGAGAAACCGTTTTGACCGTTAGGAACTGCAGTTAGAAACCATTCGTCATCCTCCGTATTCGCCAGACCTTGCTCCAACGGACCACCATTTTTTGTGATTTGGACAATTATTTACGTGAGACTATAGATAGAGATATTTCCTCTTGTTATGGAGATCTTTTCAGATTAAATATAAATCATTAAACCACATCGGGATTATCGGTATGGCTGAATTCAAGTAGGATATTAACTACAACACGAGATTCGAAGGTTTAATTTATTTAAAAGTTTGTGGAATATGATGTGAATTTTATTTCTACCTTTCTTGACTTCGTTGAATCTCATCTATATATCACAAGTCGTATTTTCAACCTGTAAAAAGATGGCCACAAATGACATTTTAATTTAATACATTTTTATAAAATATTACCCCATAGTTACATAAAAATAGTATCAGAACCCTTGGGTTATGAAACATCTGAATCAATGAAGCCGCCACAACACCCAAACTCCTTACAATATAGAAAAGTTAATTTTTTACATTGTTAGTATCTATGCATTAACTCGACCAAGATCAGGCCCCACAGATAAAAAAGACTGACAAATACCTTTACCCATAATAACATTTTTACATAAAATTCTGTTTTAGTTAAAGAGCTTATTTTAGTAGCTTGTAAAAAGCGTCATGTTGTCATAAAATATGTATTTCTCTCTCCGTTGATAAATAAGTGAAACAACCAAATGAGACAGAAAATGAGCTCCTATAACTATAGTGTCAAGTAATGAGATGTTGGATGCGAAAATAATAAATATTCACCTATCTAACGAAAGCTTTGCAAGCAGCTTTATTGAAGCGTCCGCCCAGTGTGCGGCTTGGGAGCGCTGGCATTCCACTTGTACGACCAGTAGAACTCGGCAAAACTAGGGGCTGTTTATACTTCACAAAGAACATTGGGTAATCCAGATAAATCCTGTTGAAATAAGCGTCCTTCATAATTTTTACCAGTTTTTAATGCATTCATAGTTAAGTTCTAAATTCTATGCGGATATTTATTAATATTAATGGTACCACCGGGATGCTAATACGTACCACATATAACACAACCACCAAGACTAAGAGAAATATAGTTTTTTTACATTAAAAGAGCAAAATTCCATCGATATAGGTAAATATCGAGATCCAAGCCTACCTTAATTTTGCCACTCTAGGCATTTGCCCGGCTGTCCCTCTCTTAGATTGGACCTTGACATTTCTTTTAAGAATTAGGACCCCGATCAAAATGTTTTCGCTTTTATTAGAAAAGCAAGAAGATATATGCCAAGAGAACTCTTTTGTGAAAAAGCTCATACCTGCTGCATGAACTTATACACATATTTCATTGATGAGTTTACAATTTAACCAAGTTTATAACTGTATTTTTATCTAAAGTTTTTATTTTTACTTACGGTGTCATATCCGGTGGACACTGGCCATAGTACGTGGGCTCTTTGAAGTAAAGTAATGGATGATATGCTTTGGGGTAGCCTCTATAAAAATCTCTATGACGTTGGCAGGCCTGTGAAATAATGTAAATGATGTGCCGAAGAACTTCGCGCCTTCGTTCTTTTTTAGGATATTACAATGGATTCCTTTTTAAACTATTCAGGGCGTCATATTCACAATACTTCGTAATGATGACGGCATGGGTGAGTGTGCCTTACTCGTGGTTAAATTTAAATCGCATTGTTTTTTAAAATGTGTTTGATCAAGACGTTGGTGTAACTGATCAAACTTACATCGCAATTATATTTATTTAAAGTAATTGATATAATACCTACCAATTATTGATTTAAGTGCCATTCGTAAATATAGGTCCTAAGTGATGATATTAGGATCTCGATAAAGTTACAAAGTTCACTTGTTATTAATAATATTCACAAATACAAATTACTACTCTGCAGTCAGGTATTAGTTGTCAAACTAGCAACTTTGAACTACTTTATTATTCTTTATGTGGTGGAAACACCGTCATTTATGTATTAGGTACGTGCGTTATCTACTGTTTCGCTTTAGCAGAGCCAAGTAATTACGTGAAACGTGAAATTTTAGAAATGTCTTAATATCTTAATCAACTTACTTCATAGAAAGTTTCAATCTCGTCTTGTCTGCCATTGTCTACAAATAATATATCCATTATTTCAAATCAAAATGTCAATGAGTGTGAAAATAGACACGTGAGATATCTATCTACATTAAATTTTGAGATTTCCTATAAATTTTGTTTTTTGTTATAAGTTGATATCTGGTTAAATTTAAATTAAACCGTTGCATTGTAAGTGTCAATGGATGGTCAATGGCATTGAATGGTGTCAAACCATATTTTTCACGTACGCGTAGTTCAATATCAAGCGTAAGCATAGAGGAAAAATGTTTGGTGTAAGTAGGTTGCAAACAACGATAGTTTAATAAACACAAACTCAGATTGATTATTTTGTTTTTCAGTTGGCAGCGTATTATTATAATTATTATTTTGGAGATAAACATGAGCAAATTAACATATATTTATGATTCTAACTATAAAGTTACGTTGCGGCTAGCTATGACCAGTGATAGACCCAAATACTTGTTTTAGGTGTTAGTCGTTGAGAGATGCGAATAGGGATCCTGTATTAAGAAAGCCAATAGTATAAAAATTCTTCTGCTTTTGGGGTACCTAGATAATTTTATTCAAGTTCCAGTTCTTATAAATAAGATTTATCTAAAAAAGCTTTACATGCTGCTTCTAACTATAAAGTTACGTAGCGGCTAGGTATGACCAGTGATAGATTCAAATACCTGTTTTTGGTGTCAGTTATTGAGAGATGAGCATTGGGATCCTGTGTTAAAAAAGCCCATAGAACAAAAACTCTTTTGCTTTTGGGGTAGATAATTTTATTCAAGTTCCAGTTCTCACAAATAAGATTTATCTTATAAAAGCTTTACATGCTGCTTTATTATAGCGAGGTGCTAATGAACGATCAGGCAACGCTGGAAAATCTGTTGTTCGTCCAGTAGTAGCTGGTAAGACCGCAGGTTGTTTATATTTCACGTGGAACGATGGGTAGCTCAAATAGACCCTAGAATAAGAGAAGTTACAAACTATATGTAGTGTTATTTTGTGATTGAATTTAACGAAATTTGACACAAAATACTTCTAGAAGGATCCATTTATTAATTCCAATGAATAGTACAGGGGTACTGTGACCACATTAATCAAGAAAAAATGCAGATACTTTCCGCAAGTAACGCACACAACCATGATTTTACTAATTAGATACTCCGGTGAAGACAATTTTGTGCTAACACCAATATCAATCACCAGAAGTCATGACTTTGTGATTCTTATAATAGGATATTAAAATTATATAATATCGTTGGAATTGTATAATATTAATCTGCTGAAAAATCTTTAAAATTCATTTATTGACCTAGGTTTTAGGACGCAGTACCATTGCGTCCTAAAACCTAGTTCAAAAAATGAATTTTGAAAAAATCTCCCTGGATATAAAGTCCGATCGCTAGGCATCGTCAATTTTGTGTCCTTCATTTTTGCCTATTGGGCAGTGACCTGTTGCTCATATTGCCTTCTAAGTACGGTACGGTACGGCACTTCATAGATATTTTTTTATCATATCATAAATCAGCCTTTCCCAATTGTGGGCGATGACGACCCCTTGTGGGCGCTGTAGGCCTAATACGGGCGGTACAAGATCAAAAAAAAAAGTTTGGGAAACCCTGTCATAAATGTTTGAACTTGCCATTATTAAAATATGATACCAGAAAAGCGACAAGAGCGGTTGCGGTTACCATTCATTTTTATTGACGTAGAAGAAGGTTCTTTCAAAAGTCTACTTACGGAGTCATTTCGGGTGGACACTGCCCGATGTATTCAGGTTCACGGAAATAAGATAATGGATGATAAGATTTTGGATAGCCCTTGTAATATTCTCGATGCATTTGGCAGGCCTGTAAAATAAGAACGTTACATCACGCCGCTCGCATTATAATCTCGAATATCGGCTTACCACTCTCCATCATCACGTGACTGTATTTTAAATTCTTAAAGTATGTCTAAAAGGTGTTCTGCGGGCGTGTTTTCTTGATACCTTTAAGTATTGTATTAAACAAACAGTGAATTTACGGGCATACTTTACATTTTCCCAATATTATAGTTTTATTTTAGTCATAGTGTAATGACACAAATAACATGAGTCGTTTTCTTTTTCTATGGGTGAAGACCAATGAAGTGGTGCGTGTGAAGTAAATGCGTTCATGTGAGGATTGTTTCATACCACAATCCTAACGTTGTTATGATATAATCATGATTGTGGTATCCAATCGTCTCTTAACGATAGATCCCCTCTTAGAGACAAAGTTGCCAAGTCAGGTTACGGGTCAAGGACATAATCATTCTCAGAGTTAGTAGATGGTGCACCATATACCTACACCCTTCCGTTTCGCAGCTGGAGGCCAGATACCCCCTAGTTATCTCTAGATAAGCTCATTCATGATATCAGTCTTAAATTTTCTTATATAGGCAAACGATTTTGTACCTTGTAAAAAATTTCTATTTCTTCTTGTCGTAATGGATCAACAAATAAAATATATTTGACCATTTTAAAAGTTATATTTTTACAATAACAACGATCTTCCGCTTCTTTTTTATTTAATGGCTATCTGCGCATTTCAGAATTATTATAACATTATTACGCAGTGACAGTAATATTTTTTTTCTCTATGAATAGAATAAAATCAAATAAAATGATAGGCAAGTTAAAAGAGCAGTTGGTGTTATATTTATAGTGCTATTAATGGAGTGGAGTAACAACATGCTTCTTCAAAACAAAATCCTTCTAAACGACGCATAGCTTCGAAAAAAAAAATTGTTTCTTCATGTTTGTTCGTCATCTGTTCTGTCAGCCATTTTTTCCAACAAATCTGGACACAAATTATTTAAAAGAAAGTCATGCGGACCAAAAAATTCAATATATTATTTTATAAATGTGTTCTCAAACTTTCATGATATGTCTGGCGCTCGTATTAAACGTAATGTTAATACATTTCTAACTTTATTATATTTTTATGACTTTAGCGGATGTCCCCCAGGACCGGAGGCCAGGGGCGGATCGTCCCCTCCGCCCATCCCTTACACCGCCACTGGCCATGAGGTAGTTATTGAAAAGCTTTTATTATATTCAAAAATATTACAAGTATAAAGATGTCTTTATCCTTTTTCCCCAATGCTTCCTTCTACAAATTAAAATTTCCCGATTTGACATTAGATTCCAGGACGCGGTACACCTTTTATTATATTTTGTAATATTGCTTTATTGGCTGATTGTGTGTAGCCGCATTACACATCTACAAGAGCAGTTGTGTCATTTGGTTAGATGATGTCAAATGGCATCATCTACTTTACTCTTTGTTTGACATTATGAATCTATGCCTTATTTCGATAAATGTCAAAACAAGATTTCCAAATTAGTTTTTTTTTTACTTTTTTGATTAATTCGCTGTTGATAAAACTATAACCAAGTTAAAATAATTAGTTTTATGGTATTAATACAAAACGAAATAAACGAATCATTGTGCTTTTATTTTTAAAGGTCTTATTTTAATATTGGTGTACTATTTTTGTCCGCTCCCGATTCAGTGCATTGAAATACATTTGACATCCAGGAAAAGATATTCTTCCTGTGCGGTGAGAACTAAATATGCTTTATTAATAGTTAAGTATGTATGTAAATAATATAACACGTTGAATCTAGGCATTGTGTTAAGCGCGTGGGATTGACGGTCATTAACATATTTTTTATTGAATCCTGATGTGAATGTCTTGTAATGTTCGCACATACGTTTAACAATTTCACTTCTACAACATCATTTGCTGAGACTGACTGACGGTAGCACTTTAATAACTTACTTTAACTAATACATAAAACATTTCATCATATCATAATTGTTATGATTGTGGTACTGTATTCTTTTATGTAAATTGAAGACATCAGCACTGTAAATAGTAAGTTTAGTGTGTCAATATTGCTGAACAACGATTTATTATAATTAACTAGGACAGACACTAGATTTATATTCCACATTTTCAAATTTGAATACTAACATAGACCTTGATGGCGCAGTGGTTAGTGGTTCAGTCTGCAATATGGAAGTTAAGCAAGTTTTGGCAAGGGACAGTCATAGGATAGATGCCCAATTTTTTTCTATATTGAGCTCATAGCTATGGAAGGCAAGTTATTAGAAATGAGCAGAATTCATTTGGTATTTGGTACTCAGCATATTCAGCATCTTTTTCACTTTATTTATTCGGCTGAATTATTCTGTTTTGGTGACAAATATATTTGGTTCTAGTATTATTATTTTCTTGGCTACATGATATGTGTATACCTAAAAAACCCAACTCCTTTTGTAAGAATAAATGCTTACAAAAGAAGTAGGGTTGGGAAATTTTTTTACGAAATTAACCTTAATATTTGACCTTAATGTTTACTTCAACATTTCAATTGTTAAAGTGCAGCAACACCAAGCCCTCCAGGCAAAAATCTTGCTCAAGTGTTTTTCATGTGGGTTCCTTGCTTCCGAAATAATTGTTCACTATACACATATAACACACTAAATAAAAACAATGAAATAGTATGCTTTTTATCTCGATTGCATCTGCAGTTGTTAACACCTAACAATCTATATGGTGCCGGGCAGGTCATGGCCCATTCTCCTTGTTTTCCCAATTTGATTCCAATCCATCCATTGGAAATGCCTAAGTCCTAGGCAGTGGGTCTGTAATAGGATGATGATGATGATACCATCAATGTTCTTTGTTTTTTTAATTTAATTTTGTTATCAACATACTCATCAATTAATTTGTTATTGTCGATGAATATTTTATTTCAGATCTCATAATCATTAATTAAATGATTTCAAATTGGGTTTTGCTTCAGTTTCGATATTACCATTACTCATAGTATTTATCACATATTGTATTGACATTAGTGCTTATCTTTTGATAAAATTATTATCAACTTAATTCTTACATTATTTTCATGATAATTTTGGTAAATATTGCATTCATAATATTATCAAGTCTAGCTTGGCAACTGAATTGGTTGCTTTTTAACCGATTGCAAAGAAGAGATTTCAAACTTGGCTGAACTGCTTGTGGGTTTAACAGTTTCTTCAGTACTACTTTAGAATAAGCAACCACAAGTGTTTTGTGGATTATTTTATATAGTGATATGTAGAAAGTATGATTTCCGAAAATTGCAATGCATAAAGAACATACGTAATTAGTAAATTTATGTGTATTTTCAAAAAAAAACAAATATGATACTGTTGTTTTTCTAAAAAACTCATTATTGTTAAGCAAAGGAATTTATATTTCTTCATTCAGGTGTTCTGTTCGTCATTGATTGTTGTGTTATTGTATTATGTTTACTTGAATGAATCACTAGTAGGCCCTTGATTAACTTGAATAACCTTCTATATAACCTATATCTGACCACAATAAAATTTAATAAAATGAGACTGTAATAAAAAGTGTTCATAATATGTACAGAGTATAAATATCAAGCAGTAGAACCTTGATTAGTTGAATCCTAACCCTCAACTAGTCTTCTTCTACACCAAGTGCCTATTTTGCATGTAAAAATTTGCCTTAACTTTCAGCATCGGTGTGAATTTGTTGCTTGCTGTTGCTGTATGTACAATCTCATGCAAGACTTCTAGCTCGATCTGAAGATGTTTTAAATTTCAAAGTTAATATGTATGTCAAATTTTATTAAGATACTGTTAAAGAAAGAATGAAATTAAATGTACTCTTTTGGTCTTTTCAACAAACCCACATTTCATATATGTAAACTTTTACAATTAGGCTACAGTCCCAATTATTTTGTGTAATTAAAATTCTACTGTATTTTATAAGATACTATTTTTGATTGTAGTGTGATGGATGAATGACACATAAAAATTATTTATCACTCATGCATGACACATGTATTGTGTACATTGCAGTTTTCATGGTCCACTAGTTGATAACTGGTGAATGGCCCCTCATGGCTCATGTCAAATGTTATTTGCTGTATATCCTTTGTTTGATAACAATTGGCATGGATACCAGTTCTATCCTTATGTTGTTTTGTGTAATGAGTTTTGATACAATTTTTGAATTTATAAATTGGTTAAAGTTATGGGTTCAGTTCAGTATTTATAAGGGTGTCATTATAAAAAAATTACAATTTATGTCTTGGTAGCTTTGCGACTTTAAACCTCAACGGTTTGACTAGGCGACTCACATTCTCTAAGAGAGCAAATATTCACATGTTAATTCCATTCTACAATGCATAGCACTTGATGATAGGCAAATCCTGAAACTACGAAGGTATCCCAATTGGTTGTTGGGAACCAGACCCGAGTCAATAAGGAAAAGCTAATTTTCTATCAATATAGAAAATTAACTTTAATCTAATTAATAATAATTGTAATAGCTAATTTTCTATCAACATAGAAAATTTACTTTCCTATATAATCGAACTCGTCCCGAGATGGCAACATCTTGATATCGGTGTACAAGCAGGAACAGTTAACAAGTAATAGGTAACAAGTGAACTCCTTGTTCATAGTTGGTATGTAGCAGTGTGTCAGTGTGATGGTAATGACGTGCGCGTCAGGCATGGGCGACGCGGTGCTACGCGAGCGACTGCCAGCTCTGTGGCGCCGCATCGAAGACGCGCACTACAGCTACTTAGAGACAGATGACAGTCCGGAAAAATTGCAGCAAAAAAAGAAACTAGAAGGTGAGTTATGTCGCTATTCACCTTGGAAGATTTTTAGAATGCGTGATAGTAAAATGTTCATTATAGATGTCCATGATCAGAATTGTGCACATGTTCCAATTAACTGCTGAGTGGCGCACAAAGCGCAGAATCTTGTTCGTTGGTCCAATATGTACATACCACTACACAGTAAATAGATGGTGGGTACCTAGTGGTAATAGTTGTCTACACTCAAATGTCACTTTTCACGGGTGCGCCCATACTATATCTCACTCTCGACCCGAGAAACTGACAAATGAGTGTAGACAAAGCGTTTCTCGAGTTTGTCATGCTAAGCGTGCAGATAAACCCTAATAAACTTGTGACCGATAAGTATAAAAAAAAAAAATATTGAAGTATTTTCTAACTGTCCTTTTTATTGTGTTCTTTTCAGATTACATCATAGAGTACCTGTCATTAGTGCCTCACGAATGTAAATTCGGTTTGGCTGAAACCGGCAAAGTTTTTCAGCGGACTATAAACGAACTGCCCGAGTTCAGTGCGTATCGAGCTGGCCTTGGTTGGGCAGCCCTGGCTAGGTATGCGAGCAATCTGCTCGCACAACCCTGGAGGAAAGAATATAAAGTTATAAGGGTAAGGAAGCTTTGCAAATAAAATCAAAATTAGTTAATTACTGAAATCATTCGATTACAATAAATACGCCGGAACTTCATGGGAATGAAATGTAATGGTAATGACTCGCAACTTGTTTAACCCTATGGTTTAACAACAAAAATTACAAAAAGCCTTTTTAGAATTCAAAGTTATTAAAACAAGTCATCGATGATGACTAACAGTTTGATATATATTATTAGTACAGATTTTTTGCTGATTCTGGTGGTCAACAAAAATTACGAATATGTTATCTATAACTAGCTGACCCGGCGAACTTCGTACCACCATATATCCGTATTTTTATAAATTTTCTTGTATACAAACTTTGTCCTGACAATAAGGAACACATAAAAGAAAAGAATTATTCAATTTGGTGCAGTCGTTTGGAAGTTATGCGCGTACACACATTTTGCCGATTCATTTTTATACCTGTATATAGATGTTTCAACTATGGGCTTTTGTACCTTGTATTTTTACACGAAACTGTACTGTAATAATTTTGAAAATAAATTTATTATTATAATTATAACTCGTAAGAATTCAAAAGACACTTAAAGGCTTATTCTATTTGTACTCGAACGGAAATTAGGAAAAATTCAAACCTAATGGTTTGACAGTGTCAGGTCCTACGGTAAAATACTTTTCTTTTGCATACGTATTGACATTTCGTAAATAGACTAAATTTCGTGTTCGAGGAAATAGAATATGCCTTCAGGAGTCATGTTAATTTCACAGGTCTTGAATCCATTTTGGATATCTATAAAGATCGAGACATTTGTAAATAGACGCGAGTCTAGTGCGTCTTGATGGATATGGTCGCGGTTTACTTTTTGAAGCACATGTCATTATATTAAATAGGGACGATGACTTATTTTGTTTATCTGTCCGTTGAGTAGATTATTAAAGCTCTGGGAAATTATTGGAGACTCCCACTATTCAACTTTAATGCCTACTATCTAAGTCATTTCTTGGTACATTGATGCAGAAAAGTAGTATCTAATATTATTCTATTATCGTACTGACGGGCTAAATAGATTTATTTCGACCCAGGCATCATCCCCGTTTTCGGTTTATTCAATACCGTTGCACTGTTATTTTGTTAAATTTAATTGTTAAACTTAAACAGTTGTATTGCGGGTACTACAAACATGAGGTGGAGGCAAATATGGTCGGTGCAGAGACTTTGTTACACGCGATGGGCTACAAGTTGTCTGGAGCCGGCCGTCTCGCTCTCGACGCACCTGTTTGTCCCGATATGGTGGCAGCTATATCCAGGGATGCCATTATAGCGCAGTGCGAATGCCAGGTACATAAGTTGTAAATTTATTTGTATACAATAAAAATTCTTTATTTGTGGGTGATGGATTGGATAGGATTGTCGTGTGCTCTGTCGGAAAATGTGGTTGGTTAGTTTGGGGCCCAAAATAATATAACTGTGTCTTTTTATTGTCAATTATAATGGTATGAAAGGATAATGTTTTAGAATTATTTTGTCACTTAGAATTCACTTGACAGTACCGTTTTTTGACTTTGGTTTACTAATCAAAGCGATAACTGATTGAAATTAAGTGAAAAAAATTAAGTGCTATCTGGAATCTTTCGCCGGGAGAAAGAAGTTAAGTGCTATCAGCAATCTTTCGACGGGTTTAACCATTTTTATCACATTCCTTCATCGTCATTCGTTTCAAAGTCATTTGCAGCGTTATATGATTTAACAAATCGCCATCACATTATTGATGATTAGATCTAAATCTAATTTGAAATTAGATAATTGACCTACTGGCCCGCCTAGAAATTCTAAATATAATTTATGGCCCTCTATAAGTCCTTCTATTAAGTTTGACACCCCATGTGTATTGATTGTTGGTACAGATAATGTCCCACACATGGGAGAGCGTGTGGGGTTAGAGCGTGCACTTATATTCTCAATCTTTTTTATGGCCCTTTATTAGTTGTTGGTGTACAGATAATGTCCCACATATGGGAGAACGTGTGAGGTAATAGTGTGCGTGTTTATTCTAAATCTAATATATGACCTTCAATAGATTTGAGTTTAACACTCCTGGTATATTGGTCGTTGGTACAGATAATGTCTCACATATGGGAGAGCGTGTGGGGTAAGAGCGTGCGCGTATCGTGGGCGGACGTGGCCCGGGAGCGGGCGGCTCGCGCTTCTGATGCTGACACCGCCGCCGCTAGACTCGCAGCCGCGGCCGATCCGAGAGTCACAATGCCATACACTGACGGTAAGTTACATTACGGAACAACGTCGTTAGCCCTGTTATTTATGTGAGATGATTTTCGCCAGTTTTTGAGCCCAGTAAAAAAATAGCATTTTCGTATCTATAGTCGAGAGACGTAATGACTTGAGAATATGTCATACATAACTTAAGCAGATATTTTTAGCAAATTAACAAGACTGAATGAAATAAGAACTATTAATGGTCAGAACATTATTATTGTTAGCTATTAACAGTTCTTACTTCGTTCAAATTCTTATTCTAGTCCTACATTATTTCTTAAATTATGAAGAATTTATGTATATTTTATTTGTTTTGATTATTGTTATTTGATTAATGGGATATTTATTAATATTAGTTTTGTGAAAGTGAAAACAAAGCCTTAAGTGTTGATAATTGATCTTACCATGTAAATATAATCGCTTACATTCAAATAATCGTGCCAGACAAATATGTAACGTCTATCTGTCGGAGAAGATAAAGACGAAAAACAAACAAAAATCTATCAAGAAAAGATATAATTGTGGACTGCTGCATCACAAACCGGGGAAGTACTTTTGTTCCATAATTTAGTAAAAAAATATACTGCTGATACTTCATTATATTTCCTTGTATGAGTTTTATGTGTGACATTTTGGTTTCTCGATACCTTAATTTTCAAATAATTACTCTTATCAAAACTCACGAATAGTGAGTAACGTCACAAAACATAACAATTTGGTACTGTTAACCTCTCTTTACTTGACATAAAGTGGAGCATATAGAAGTAATGCATCAAAGGGACCATTTTAAGGATGCACTCAGTACTCTCAAAGAAGAATTAAATACTCATGAGAGGGTACTCAACCGCATCACAGAACTGGAACAGGAGCTCAACTTGGCCAATAATAAAATAGAACTACTGCTCGAACAACAAAAAGAACATGAAGCAGAATACACCCAAAGTCTTTTTGAAGAACTGGTAGCATCACCTGGAGGTCAGTCGATGAGGCATCAACTAACAGCCTGTGACATACACTCTAAGAGTCAGATCAATTTTAATTTAAGTACTAGGAAACTTAAGAAATATATTAAAATTGGAAAAGTTATCCAGAAAACTGAGAGATTGATAAAGAAGAATAATTGTTTTTATAAAAATAATGCCTTGAGGAAACAACGCAGTAGTCTGATGGATTCTTTGGAAATATATAGTGATAAATTATGTGAAAGTCGGCAGATGTATGACAGGGATACAAAAAAATTTCAATTTGAAATAAAAAAATTACATGAATCAATAGAATTAATACAAAATAAATATTTAGTTGCACAGTCTCAGATTGATGAGCATATTAGGTCTGCCACAGAGTTGGTTAACCTATGCAATTACAATGCTGACCGTTACCATTCACTGTTAAATAATAAACAATTAATTAACAAAACAAATAACAGCTTTAGTAACAATAACAATAATAATATTCAGAAACAATTTATAAATACAGTTACACAGAAACCCTGTCAGTCATCTGCCCACCAGTCACAACTGTTTACTCAGGTACCTGTTCAGTCATCTGTTACTGATGACTGCTCCCCATCACAATTTTCCCAACGTCACAGAATAAATTCACAAAATTATAAAAATAATATTTTAATATTCAGTGATGAAATTGGCAGAAACATGGGCCGTTTGCTATTCGATAAGGGCCATTCAACATTAAACTTCTGTATGCCTAATTCCTCTTTTAGTGATATTTTGGAAAAAGCAATTAAACAAAACTACAGCAAAAATACCACTTTATTGTTTTTTATTGGCAATAGAGGTACTTTGAACAAACATAAATTATTGAAATATATAAACGAATTAAATTCATTAAGTGTTGGGAAAGTCGTGATTTTTACGTTGCCGTATTGCAATAGTTTGTCCAATGAAGAAAATAATTTGCGATACAAATTGAATATGACATTGCACACTATATGCAATACTGCAAAGTTTCATGTCATTGACACTAACAAGTATGTTAGAAAATTTTATTTGACTAAAGATAAATATTATCTTTCCAATTATTATAAGAGACAAATAGCTATTTCGCTATCATATTTTTTTTCTATAACAGCCAAAAATTTGGCTAACCAGAGTGCTCCTATTGAGCACTCTTCTATTGACATGACTGTCAGTAATAATCCTACTGACATTGCGACAAATTCGTCTTTAAATTAGATACTAAGACAACAGAGGATTCCTCTTGCTTGCTATTGAATAGTCAAAGTAATAATGGAACCAAGAGTTTTTCAGTCATCAACCTAGTGCACCAAAATGTTCAAGGAATGTTGAGTAAAGAGTTAGAAGTGGAATTATTCATGAACTGTAACGATGTTGATTTTTTCTCTATTACGGAACATTGGTTAACAAGTTATAATTGCATTTTTAACTTCAATAATCACCTGGTTGGTAGCGCGTTCATTAGGAAAAACGCAATGCGTGGTGGCGCACTAATTTTATTAAATAAAAAGTTTAAATTTAAAGAACGTAGAGATATAGTGAGCCTATCGGTTGAGGAAATAATAGAGATTGCCTGTATAGAGCTGGACCAGCTGATTGTACTGAGCGTATATAGACCTCCTTCAAGTTTAGTTTCTCATTATGATCTCTTTGAAACTGTTATGGATGAAGCATTAAAAAAGGTATATAGCAAAGGCAAACGATTAGTAATTGGGGGTGATTTTAACGTTGATTTATTAGGAAACTCCAATTCATGTACAAGACTTGTAAATCTATTTATGTCCTATAATCTTGCGCACATGTTTAAGGAGCCTACTAGAGTAACTGCTACTTCGTCCACATGTATTGACAACATTTTTACAGATCTAGTACCACTTTCAAGACAGATAATTAAACAACTACCGTCAGATCATTTTGGACAACTAGTTAGCTTTCCGCATAAATGTACGTTTGTGGCTAGGAGATACATTACAGTTGTGTCAAAAAGTATGAGTCGCTGGGAACGTTTTAAAAATCAATTAGATAGTAAATTGTATCATTTGAAACATAATAGTAATCCCAATGATTTGTACAAAGATTTCTTTGATGTTTATTGTACAGAATTCAATAAGATTTTTGTAAGATTCAATATGGTTTTTGTAAATGTCATTACTCATATTAGAGCTGGTGAGTTTCTTGCTCGTTCTTCTTATCAGCCAAAACACGTCCTGAACGAGTGGTAGGGAAAAAATGTTGGACGATTCAAAAGTACTTTTAAGAAGTCTATTTGAATAAAGATTATTTTGACCTTGACTTTGATTGATTAAAAATATTGGCTTAAGTTATGACATTTTCTCAAGTAATTACTCCTCTCGACTATACATATGAGTGCCACTCTTCTTTTCCCTCTTGAATGATTATTACAAAGAATGAAAAGGAGAAACTTTCTTTATATTATTATCGATACTAGTAATCTTAACATTTGCGGGTTTTTGTGATCTTACGTAATAACTATCAAGACTTATTCTATTAAAATATATTTAGCTACAGCAGCATGTAAGGTTAATGTAAAAAAGTTCTTCAGTCAAGTTTGAACTTTAAGATCAACCGATTGAGTATATTAAGTAGCCTATGTCCTTTCCAATCGATCCAACAGTTTGATCGTGAAAGCGTAGCAGACGTACAATAGTAGTAATAGTACAATAGTACTGATTTATCGCAATGTTCGCTCTTGTCGCTTTTATTCTTCGATGATGACTCTTTTGACGTCATATGTCGGTACATAATATGTCTTTGTTTAATCGCAACTTTACTATTTTTATTATGATCGTAACTTACTGTTTTCTATAAATAATTAAAAAAGATTACTTATCACCCCTCTTATATTTTCTTTGCATACAGGTGCCGAAATATACTCCAATATACCTGTCACAGTATCCGACGCGCATCGCAGTAGACTCGCCGATAGATACCACCCTATGCCTTGCAACCATCTGTGCCCAGACGAAACGATCATAGAGGACCCAATAACTCCTATAGTTCAACCATCGTATATGATGCCACAGACGATGATGCCGCCACAAATGATGTACCCTATGCCTCAGCACATGCATCCTGATGTCCCAGTAACGGTCACAAATCAACCTGTGATGACTCCGTACGGGGTTCCATATTACTATCCAGTTCATGCCCCATATATGATACCAACTCCTATGTACGCACCGATAAAGCACGCTACAAATGTACCCATAAACGGTTATCCACCGATCACCCAGTACAATAGATATCCATCCGTACCGACCGGTCAGCTGATTGAACTTGATACACCATCGGTTTATGAGAACGGAAAGTTTGAGAAACACAGAGATGACGATAGAGGGCACAGAAGAGTTAGACAACCGGAGAGTTCTAGAAGGAACAGCACGTCGAGATCGGGTTTTAGCGACGTATCGTTGCCTAGTTTACCTCGTTCTGATACTCAACCGGTGCTGAGTAAGGCTAAAGAAGACGGAATGGGCACTTATGAGAGTTGGGATTATGTGTTCAGGAATCTATCGAGCAAAGACCAGGATGGTGAGAGTCGAAATCGGTATTCGCCTTCTTTGGACAGGGATTCTAGAACGCTGGATAGGTTAGACAGGGAGGAGAGGCGAGTCAAATATCAGCCGACGACGCTAGATTTAGAAGACGGCTTGCAGGCGTTGAACATAGATAGGTCCTATGATGAAGACGCGTATCGAACAGCGAAAGTGAACGAAAATTTGATGAGGATGAAACAGGAGCAGGAGTTGAAGAGAGCGAAGCAACTGGCTAGAAAACAGACGGAAGAGAGAAAAACGAAAAAGCTGGAGTCGATCGGGAACCCTAAAGCGGATGCGCTGATAACTAATAAAGTAGCACCGGATAAAGTGAAGTTGCTGACTAAGAAGGATGTCAAAGATAGGAAGGAGGTGTTAAAGCAGCAGAATTCTGTGAACGGTTCGGCTGAGGTGAAACGAGTGAAGAAACCCCCAAAGCTCGTGGCCGCAGAAGCAGAACGGCCTTCCAAGTCCATGCCTTTAGAAAATGGACATAACTCGAAAACATCTGTTGGTGAGTAATGATTTTATTTAATGACTATAGTAAGCAGAGCTGCTTGGGGTCGGCCCTTACATGTATATAATAATGTGGATATGAACTTGGGAGCCAAAATTTTAAAGTTAAGTTGAATAAATGATCAACAAGATCTAAATAGTCAGCATTGATTAATTAAAGAAAATATCGAAACTAACCAATACTCGCCTCTAAAATATTAAGGTCGCTTAATTATAGGTATATCCATACTACAATTAACGGCCGCTTTCTGAATTACGAAAAGTACAAAATCTCAATTGATTATTCTCAATAACTTACGTTCTTTACGTTTTACTTGGCAAAAGTCCTAATATTATCATTCTGCTATTAATTGATAATTTAAAGAATTAAAATCAGAAACGAAAACGTGTTTAAGTGATGTTTGAAATAGCTTAAGTGCGGTTCGAGACGTGCATAACTTTAAATTCTCAGTTCAGAAACCGGGTGTAAGACATGTCAAATGAAAAATATATTTCCACATTGTTTTGACTGATTATCGGATCTGGGATTTCCTAATCTTTCAATCGTCATCGTTAAATTCTATACAACACTAAATTTCTATAGATAAAATTTATTTATTTAGTAGTCGATAATTGTGTTAACTAATTGCTAATGTTTTGTTAATAGCTGCTCCATCGAACTACGATTTAAAAGCTCAACTGATAGTATCCCTAGACGAGACAGATAACGTGCGTCGCTCACCGCCCAAACAAGCCACAAATGGCGACAGAACGACTCAAGAGCGATGGGAGTGCGGCACTTGTACATACATAAACAGCAATGCTAACGTCGCGTGTGAAATGTGCGGTAAGTCGAAGAAAGGACCGGAGATTCAGCCATTAACTTCGGGTGGACGTGAATGCCCGACATGTACACTAGTCAATCAACGTGACGCTACTGAGTGTGACGCGTGTCGCACTAGTTTAGACCACTGTCCGACATATATATAAGTCGATAAGAGGCTTCTTATAAATCATTTGGTGCCCGAAATATCAATATAAAGCCTAACAGTGACTTGTTAATCGATTAGTGTTGGATTAATTAATCTACTAGTGTTGCACTTATTAGTCGACTAGTGTTGGAATTGTTAGTCGACTAGTATTGGACTTATTAGGCTACTAGTATTGGACTTATTAGGCGACGAGTATTGGAGTAATTAGTCCTCTAATGTTGGACTGATTAATCCAATCATTCCGTGTCAGACAGGTTATAAAACCGAACTGGAAGTCATCAGTCGACAATGCTGGACTTATTCAAGCATTAGTGTCGACTAGTCGACGACTCGGTCGATTACTGCACGATTTGCAGTTCGAACTAGTACTAGTATATAGTAGTGCTGGACTTTTAGACTACTGTTATTCGACTAAGTAGTTGACTAAATGGGGACTTATAAATTGACAAGTGCGGTTCTATAATTTACAGTAGAACTACGTTTATAAGCTAAATTTGTACCTGCGCAGAAAATTTTTTTTTGGCACGAAATAACTTTAACCCATCTTAGTGGTCCGCCATTACTATAGGTGTACCTGAATCTGATGGCAAATCGGGAAATTTGTAGAAGGCAACATTGCAAGACGTCTTGATACTTGTAATACTTTTAATTTATTAAAAACTTTTAAACAACTCAAAGCATTGAACATACTCCTGAACGGGTTTCGACATCGGCAAATTTTGACATTGATCACCCATCTGGGTGATAAATCAATAAGATATAATGTTCTACAAACATACACTTGCACACTATATTACCATCGTCTAATGGTTTGATTGGACATCATATGATCCGCCAAAGAAAACTCTATAGCATTTTACCGAAATCTAAAGAAAATATACTTTATGTATTGTTGATTGCTAATCTCTACTAATATTGCAACTGTCTGTTACGCTTTTACATCTAAATCAAATGCGGCTTAATTTTTTTTTTCTATTCTCACCGTTCCTGGTGTAGAAAAATGCCTTCATATCCTTCACTAACAATTCTTAATATTTATATTGGTCTTTAACGCGCCAACGAATATTTATTATTATTCTTTGGAAAAAAATAAATATCAAGACTAGTCATTGCTAGTTACCAGTAAATCTATAAACGCACTTTAAAATAAAATAAAAAATCGTTGATCTTCAGCTTTTTGGGGATTAACATAAAGTTAATTCTTCTTCTATTTTATTAAATTAATGGCGTTGCCCTTGTAGATTTCGGCAGAATCCAGTGTTTCGCTCAGTTTGTTTCATATTTTAGTATTTTATAAACTCTGTTTTACAAATATTCACAACAATTTACACATTGACATGACAGTTGTCAATGGGTGACAATTGACATTGCCATATGAAAATCGAGATTTTTTTTTGTGCCATCAGATTTTGGTACACCTATAATAGCGAGATATATTATGAGGAGCTTCGTTCGTCTCTTTCGAGATGCAATTATTTTAATGACTAGCGGTTGTTTTTGATTTACAAAGAGTGGTGCAAAAGTGAGATTACATACATAAACAGCAATGCTGGTGTTTTGAGTAGAAACCGCTTTGTTTTGATCTTTGATCAGATCCGAAATATACTCAATGAAAACTCTCAAAAAATGTAAAGAGCTTATCACGAGCTCCTTAATGATAATAAACAGACCTGCTGCCCAAACTTTTTTACCCTGTTTTCTTTTGTATTCTTCGGTTTTAGCTTGCCCTTCTGCGCAGACTCATTTAAATAATACTGCTTATAAAAATGGTAGTACTGTACTTTTGCACTTAGTCGATTAGAACTGGACAAGACGATTACAATTTATAAAGGTGAACATTCACTTAATTTTAACAAATGAACCGTTTGACATAGTTTGCGTGTAGTCAGTGCAGTTATTCCTTTGCGTGTGTTCGGATGCAGTGTACGTTCACCTTAAGATGGCGTCAAGTAATTTACTTTTGAGTTAGACGATGAATCGCTGAATTATAAGTCCAATAAGAATTTACTCAGGAGTCCACTAGTACAGTTACAGTGAATCGTAACCAATTCTAATTTTTATTGCTTTGTATTCGTACCTATGAATATTGAAAAATAAAAAGAAATACACAGTTAAATATATAAACGAAGGTATTATTTAAAAGTATTTTTTTTTTTAATTTAAAATTAATTTGTAATAAAATGATCAAATACCCACAGAATTAACAGTCGGGTAGTTAAAAGAGAATTAATATGTTAACCATTTAATATTTGACAAACGGCATTTATTGTATACGTTTCTCTTGGTAATATTACGCAAAAATATTTATTGTGGGTTGAATTCAATTATGTTTAAACTTATGTAATTGACATACTTGCACAATAATTACAAGTAAATTGTATAATTTTAAGTTTGTAATACAGTTAATCAGTTTTAACAAGTTCAACCTACTATAACTCGAAGTGAAATATATGCGTTCAATATATGTCGTGGAAATTACTATGTTTACGATCAGGTTGCCAAGTTAATTGTAAACTAATCATTTATAAGTATTTATTAACAGAAATAGTATTAAGTTTATGACAGCACAAATTTACGTTATATATAATTTTATTAACCAAAACAATTTTTATAGTTCTTTGTAAATTGTATCGTCGGTATGTACTAAAAAAAGGACACCAAAATAAATTCGTAACGATCGCAATTGCTATCGCACCTCAAATAATTGTAGCGTGGGGTTCCTGAATATCTTACCAATGCCAAATTGAAACGGATTATGATAGATTTTGGAATAAGACAATTAGCCCCTGATCGTGCTATAAAAGGTTATTTGTAAAACACTAGAAAAATCATAAAAGTCGAAAATGTTTGATCTACAAATTTAACTAAAACTCAATATTTTTTCAAACAAAAATATATGAACCAAACAATTTTTTTCAAGTTTCTGATTGTAGTCGAAAGACCCGAATTTCTATCCAATAATCTGTTATTATATTATATTTAAAGCATTTATCCTTGTTGGTTTTCTGTCTATGATCTATTACTTGTTACTAAATAAATGTTTGGAAGTTTTAACATGGCAGGATTGATTCATTACGCCTGACTTTTATAGTAGTTATTGGTTACAATAATTGATTAATTGCGTATATATCGACTCTCATTGATGCTTCTGCGCAGTAAAACGAATAAGCGCAGCAAGTCATGTATAAACCGTTAGTTTTCTTCCGATTTACAATAATTTTCTTTGTTTTGGAAATCATAAGGCATTTATGAGATTTTACAATATTCTTAAAGCTCTAAATTCCTATTTCATAGAGCTTTAGGTTCAATATCATCTTGTCAATTTTTATATTCACACATGAAATGAGAAATGGAAAATATAAATCACTTTATATGTGTAGAAATGAATATAATTATTTTAATTTATATCTATCGCTTCGCTACACAGGGTAAACTAAGAAAAGTATATGATGTAACTGAAAATTAAATAAAAATATCTATGAACGGGGAGCGACTTGAAATTTTCTCGAAATTATGTAATAATAGTGTTCGTTTATTCGCCTTCGGAAGATGCTTTAATGTTAGTTGAAAAATTGATAACGCTTCTATGTTTTATTTTTTAATAAATTATTGATCTGTGTATATAATTGTTAGAGTTTGTAAATAGTCGTATTTAGATATATTTATTTGGAACGCAGTTCGTGAATATATTTTTATTTATGATGGAGGATAAACGGTTATAATACTATAAATTGTATTTACTTAATAGTCATCGAGAATGTAAAATTAGTTATGGGTGCATTTGTTAACATTGTATGTAATTTTATGATCACAGTTTATAAAGATATGCACAACGTATAATTAAAATTTATATAGTACACAAAGTCAGACATAAGCGTAGAGGATTAAAGCACTGGGAACGTGTATTTTTCTATATAAAAAGAGGGAAAGTTAGATGTTCCCGAAGTGAAAGAAATTTTTGTATAACGAGTTGTGCTTTTTGTTATTTTGCCTTTAGTTCGTTTGGACACTAAAAAATATTGTAAAGGCATACTATAGTTTTACAGATAGAGAAATATGTACCTAATATTTAATAAAGAAATAATACTGTTTTTTCATCTAGCTTTTTATTTGATCCCTTAGTACCTGTTTGTCTGGCTTTCACAAGTGCATGTAACAGCCTAGACTATTCTAATTTTGAGTCTTAAAATCGTACGGTTATCACATTATCGTAAAATTAAAAGTCGAGTTGAAACACGACCAGCCATTGTGTGACGTCACAGTAGCGATAGCTGGCAGATTAGTCATAAAGGCATGCCTATTAATTTATAAATCAAATTCCTAGATGGTGCTGTTCTTAGTTTATTTATACCTTTTTTTATTCGTAATCGATCGTTAGATGACACTGTTTTTGTTTTGTTGACATATTTTAATCTTCTCTATGCACCTGTTTTGTGTTCATATCACAATAACGTCATTAATATGACAGATCATTATCGCGGGCATAAAAAGTTAGATTTTTTAAATTTAAATTTAAGCCAAGATAACGTCTTTATTTTTCCAATATATTTGTTTTATGGCTTTTTTCAATTAAAATAAACACTAAAAAGTATTATCAAACAAGAGTAGAATACCCTATTATGTAGTGGTTATGAAGTACGTATGGATGGGTCAGAATCAGAATACAGATTCTGACATTTGCAGAAGTGTCATAATAAGTAGTAATGGATAAATCAGTGGTTCTTTAAATTTTTACTACTGTTATCTCTATAATTTATTACGAAAACTATTTTTTACTAAACCTTAAAATTTTTGTAATTTATGTCTTATATCAAGTAAAGTCATTGAGAACTTTCGTTTGAATATATTCAAATCTCAATTTGTGAATCTAATAGCCAGTTGCATAAACGTCCATGAGTTTAAAGCGACATTACCCATACAAATTGACATTCATTAGAGCTTAAGGGCGTCAATAAACCTTAATGGACATTTGTGCAACTGACCTTAAGAGAGATATTTAAACGCCTGCATTAAATAGTAGAGCAGTTATATATTCAAGATAACTGAACTTAATACAACTATATATTCGTAGATACAACTGTCACTGAATAACGACTTAGTAATAATGAAACTAATAAATGAAATGCGTTGTTTTAAACCAATTCAATGATTTGTTTTAAATAGCCCAGCATCTGTTAGTTTTTGTCATATTGATATTTAAATACAAAAAAAACTATGTATTTGTGTATTTTATTGCGCCCCGGTAATGAGATAGAGACAACGTTTTAATCGATCCATTACGATTATTGTAAAAGTGTTGCATATTATCCTCGACTAACATAATAAAAGAGTATAATTACCAGTGGTCGGAATTAGGTAGAGTTATTCATGTGCTTACACTGATTTCATACAGCGAAAGAATAAAGTGGATATGCCTCAAATCCCGAGATTAATTTTAAAGAGCAGAAAAAATTCCGTGATTTTTTAAATAAAAAGTTATTTACTTTTACACAATTAAAACTACTGCACGCACGACGTTGCCAAAGTTACATCAATGAAAGAAAGAAATAAAGAAATCCCGGGAAGGTCAACATTACTATCAACATTTCGATGCAAGTACATAAATAACTCTACCTAATTCCGACCTCTGATAATTACAAAAAGAAATTGAAAAAAATGCAAATTTTCTCTATAGAAAAAAATTTCATTCTTAAATGTAATTGAGAAAATTTAATAAATTCCTATCTTAATTGTAATAAAACCCTTAGAAGTATTCTGTAGTAATTTATTCATTTTAAATTACAGCTCATGTGGACGCCATTTCTTTGTACACAATGTAATGAAACTAATTAATTTTTAATTAGTTGAATTAGATTAGAAATTAATTAGTTTTGGTATACGCGCCCTATTAACTTTTCTGATGACTCTTCACCAGCAATGCAAAAAAAAAAAAACTTCAAATACAGTTGTGTACGTGTTTTTCTATTTTGTAACATAGATTTGTATAAAAATACTGAGATACTTAACTCCGTAAAATCACATTCACGTTCTTAAAGTTTTATTGTTTCCGTATATGAGGTAAGTATGTGGTTTAATAATGTCCGTGTCCGCCGTAGCCTCCTTGTTTATGTCCACCGTGACCTCCTTGATCATAGGAGCCGTGTCCATAGCCGCCGTGTTCATAATTGTCGTGTTTGTTGCCATGGTTACCGCCATGTTCGAAGCCGCCGTGTCCGTGACTTTCGTGTTTGTGTCCACCGTGACCTCCGTGTCCGCCGTATTCGTAGTCGTCCTGTCCGCCGAAACCTCCGTGACCACCGTGATCGCCGTGACCGCCGTGGCCGCCGTGGTCACCGTGACCGCCGTGGCCGCCGTGGTCACCGTGGCCGCCGTGACCCCCTTGTCCACCATGTCCACCGTGACCATAGTCATCGTGACCATGCCCTTGGTTGTATCCGCCGCCGCCGTAACCTGAAATACATATAATTAAATAGAGCAGCGATTCCCGAAATGTGGCCAGAGGAAAGCTGGGGTTCCATAGAAGGACACAAGGGCTCCGCGTTTTATCTGAGAGTCCAATAATTTATTTATTTATTTAGGTTTGCCAACATTTGTTTACAATATTCCTTAGGGGAGATGAGCCCAAAACGGGTAAGCTAAGGGAGATGTTCAATAAAACAATCAAGAAAAGTAACTGCAACTTATATTTGTACTCATAGGAATGTTTATTTATTAAACTTTTAAAAACAAAACACAATCATAGTACTCTTCTTATGTACTCAAAGAAAAATAAAGAGAAAAAAAACCTTCGAACTACCCGCTTTGCCCGTAGGGGGGGCCTAAAACGGGTACCGTCTTTGGGCAAAACGGGTAATGAATAAATCTACGAAATAAATCAACTAAACTATAATTTTTAACATCTTAACCTTTAATTATAACATAATGACTTTTTTTATCCTTAATCAGTCTCCATAACAATCACATTATTTTTTTATTTATTTAAATCCTGCATTTAAAATTACATTTCTATCATTAATAAACAAACTAAAGTTATTCTTGACAAGCATCACAGTCATAAGAGCCTCTACCAGAATATCCAGTGCACGCTTTGTGAGTCCACATTTGGCAGTCATCACATCTGATCCAGTCTTCGATAGGTGGGTGTACATATAACTCAGAACAAACCAAGCATGAATATTCAGTTTCCTCATTTTTACCTTTTCGACCACGTTTGGGTTTTTTCTTTAAAATTTTATTTATAACGTCAATTTTAGTTTTTGAAACTTTTTTCTTATTCTCTTTTTCTCGTTGTTGATCTTTTATCGGTGTGCTTGTAAGTATTTCAGCTTTCTGTGGCTTACGTCTTCGAGTAGTTTTTTGTGGGATAATTTGAGGTAGTGGCCTGATGTTCAGTGGGGTCATATGTTATTAATCTGAGCATACTGGAACACAAGCTCTAAAAATTCTTTTTTAGTAAGTACAAAAAATAAACTATCCATATGAAAAACATAATCAAGAAGTTCATTTTCTTGACTTGTCGTAAAGACAGTTGTGTACCTTCCAAGTTTCTTTTCTGAGCTACCTTTTTTAATATGCCGCTGTAACGTTGACAGATTTATGCCGTACTTCTTGGCTGCAGCGTTGACAGAACCTTTGCCAGCTTCTTCCATAGCACACTTCATAACTGCTTCATCCCAGGACGCATTTGAAGTTTTTCTTTTATACTTATTGACCATCTATAAATAATAATAAAAAAAGAAATAAGTAAATAAAACGACATTTTAGTCAACTAAATTACAACACTAGAATTATATTCTTGTCCTAGTCTATTCCAGGGCAAATCGGGTAGTCACTCGTTATGCCCCTACCCGTTTTGCCCAAAACACGTTGTAAATTTCAACTACCGTAACCTAAAAATTGTAAACACTGGCGACGACTAGGTATTCACAAATAACAAGCACATTACTTGTAAATGATTATGTAAAACTAAGAAGAACATCATTTGCACTATATTCGAGTAAATAATACTAGCATAAGTCGTTTTTTTTTAATAAAAATAGTAAAAAACTTTGTTTTCGTCTTACCTTGAAAGTGTTCGCTTCACGGTTGCGGCCCGACTGCCTGAGATGGCGGGGCGGTCGGGACGCCGCACTGCACTCACACATTCTCGCTAACACTTATAGCATACCTACCGTCAAGCCTACCCGTTTTAGGCAGGTTACCCGATTTAGGCTCATCTCCCCTACTCAATTATTTACTATTTTCACCATTATTATCTAATTGCCACAAATTCTTAAAGGCAAACACAACATGCAATTCGTAAAAAAGACTCAACTACATTTAATGAGGACTTTGTAATGCTTACAATATTATTTCTCATTTTTAATTTGTCCGTTTTCAAGTCTCACAAAAAATATTTAAAATACAATCACTTTAGTTATCAAAATAGAGTTCCGCAATAAAATATCGTTAACTACGGTTCTTTTACAAAAAGTAGGAACCCTAAAAATAAAATTGTAGCAAGCGCTTCCTAACGTTTTAAAGTTCACGGGTCCCTATAAAATCAAGCATAATTTCAAGGGACACCGAAAAAAACAATATTGGTTACTACAATACACGTAGGTGAATTAAATAATATCTTACCAGGAATAGGAACAGGTTCAGGAAGGGCCATCGCCACAACCACTAGCGCCAAAACAGCAATCTGTAAAGAGTCAAGGGTCCAATAAGAATTATATAGCTATTAAGAATAATGTTTTTGCTGACAATAGATGTTAATGAATAAAGTAAATAATATATGTATAATATTCTATCGTTATATATCTATGATGTTGACGTACATATTTAGTAGTCTAGGATACGATTAAGAAAATTATCCCTTCATATGTTATTTCACTGTAGGAGGATTTATGTTAAATAACTAACTGTAAGGTTGCCTATTACAAACAGAGATTCGCCCTTATTTGTTAAAAAAAAACTTCTAATTAGGAAATCATATTTTTTTTTGAAAATTTAATATAATATATTAAATATTTAAAAAAATAACGTTCTTAATGAAACATGTTTTTATAATAAAGAATATTTTTAGCATAGCATTGTTAATGCGAATTCGATTAAATATAATATTAATAACATGTAATTTTGGTAATGCAACATTTTCTTATTTTTATATAATATGACAATTTAATGTAGCTATCAATGGATTAAGTTTAGATTAGATTAAAAAAAAAAAAATCCAAATGCTTTTTTAGTAAAAGTTAAAAAATAGTAACAAACATTGTGTTACATTTGAACAAATAAAAATAAAGCATTGAAATAAAATATAAAACAAAACATTAAAAATAAATAAACGAAATTGATGTTATTACCTAGTAAGTATTTTTCAATACTATAATATTTAAATATAAAGGGCTAAACATAATATAGCATGTATCGGCAATACAAATATAGGCAAATACAAATAACATTGTGGGGATATCCACGAAAAATATTGTATATAATTTTAATTATAAAATTATTTCTTAATTTATTAGTATTAGAGGACACCATACGATTTATTTTGTATAGCTAATTAGATATATAAATATTATGTTATTAAAAGTAGGCTAGGTACTACGGTAACTAAATTAGTCCATGATATTACTTACCAGAATTTTGACCATGTTTATATTACAATCGATCCAACAGAACCGAAAACTCGCGATTAATATCACAAACTATGACGGTCAACTAAATGAACTCAACTTATATAGTAGGATTAACCGTGTAGGTACTATGGGCGCTGCCTTCCTGCGACCCATCGTTAGCTTACGTAGATCATCTCGTTTTTAAGATCGTTACACGTTACAAACATATGAGGAAATAGCATTGTTTTTAAAGTGGCTCATGTTTATTTAGATTTTGTCCCCTGAATATTTGAAACAACAAAAAAAATTTAACTTTAAAAATGGAGATGGTTCTAATGAGGAAATATTTATAAAAACATTAGTCCCCGAAATTCAAACTAGATGTCGCTACGGTACTTTCTTGATTTCTCCATGACAACCTTTCCGGTTTTCTTTCATGTATAAAAGTAAATTAATTTTCAAAACTCAATAAACAGCACATATTATATTTGTAATTTTTCATATTTGTATTAATATCTATGTTTCGAACTTTGCTAATTCTGTTTTTTAATATGTTAGTTAAAAAGAACGGAAATGACTATCTTTGGTCTATTCGTTTCCTGCAAATATCAACTTTTGATAGAGTCGCCATCTAGTGGAGGTGCATTTTTAAGGCTTTCTTTTTTTTTGAAACTTCCTCATTCGAATAAATATTATGTAAGAGCTCAAAAGAATAAATTGTTGACCACCCATTCTATTACCTGTCTTTACGAAAGTTGCATTTACAATATTTAAGTACCTATTTGATGCTGACACTGAATGCGAGAGCCGTATAGCAACTTTAAAGTCGGTGTACGTCGTTAAAGGATTAATAATTATTTTAAACTGTCACTTTAAATTAATTCGAATTTGAATAGATAGAATTTCAATATTTGTGCAGCTGGGTGTTTGATATTATTACGTGGAGAATATTATAAATAATAATAAATTTTATTTTTCCTTTTTATTGCAATTACAATTTTGTCTAATAGTTAGGTAAATAGGTATAAATAAGGAAACAAAAAGCTGTTTACTCCTATGAATAGAATACCTTGTGACATATTTGTTTTATTTGTACCGTGAAAATAATATTATAATTGTAGTAGGTAGGTAACAATTGTAACTATAACGATTATAGGTATTATCGAAGTTAAATTAATGATATTTTATGTTATGGACGATTACATTTTGCAATTATCAACATATATGTAGGTATTGGTTTATCTAAGGCTTTTACAATTCATGAGTACCATATACCTAATGATAGAACGTATCATTGTTTATAACCTCTAATAAAACATTTATAATAAAATTACTAAAAACATAACTAATTATAAAAAAAAAAATGTTTTCTTAAGTTGTAAACTCATGAACACTATATGCAAAGACAACAGACAATAACAATTAACTTTTGTCAACTATAATAGGTTTTTATTGAATATTAATTTGTAAATAAAAATGTCATTTTCATCTTCATGTATAAAAAATATTTCTGAAAAAATAAATGTATAAGTAAAAATATTTGTAAGTATAAGTACTTAGTAGCCAATATATGACCCGTTATAGATAGGTATAGGAAAAATTAAAAACTAGATACCTACCTTCTTACAAACATATAGCATACGTAATAATCCTCCTTACTTATAATAATAGTGTGCCGATATAATATATGATGTGATTTTTATATCAAGGAAGTAATTAATTACTCGCGGCGGTGGTATTTTTGTGTAAGTTTATTGTTTTTGAGTGGTTGAATAGCTCGTACGCGGCTTGTCCCAGCTCCCGGGTTCGATTGCCGGTCAATATAGAAAATTGAGTTTTCTGTATTGCCTCGGATTTGGGTAATACCTTCACTGAACGAACCATATTAAGGTACATTACTCCCCCTAGATCCGGCCGTGATTTATTAATCAACTTCAAAAAAGGAAGATATCAATTCCAGATGTATGTATTTATATAATTTGGTTGGAACTGCGTACCTAATATTCATATATGTTGGTCTGTATGGGCTTCTAAACAAGTGTGATAAATTTTATAGATGTATTTATGTATGTATGTTTTTCCTCGGATATCTCGCAAACTAGACGTACATATATTATTTATACTTCTTTTTCGTAAATATCTGGCATCGATATAAAAAAAAACTATTTTAATTGAGATAAAAATTTTGTGATATTATTTCTCTCTTTTCAGTTGTTTCTTGTTGTTTAGGATTTTTTAAAAGTCGGTTATTTTTTTTGGTAATTATTAAAGCTGCTTCTCTTCACTTCATTTGAATTCTAATTGGATTCCAGCCATAGGGAAGGCCTGTGTCCCACCAGTGGGAACATTTATAGCATGGTAATGATTAATACGGTAATAAATATTTGTATTGCCTTAATAATATTCTAATGACGTCGAGGTAATAAAGGTCTTTAAACTAATACTGTTAATAATTAAATGGTAGATGGAATGTACTTTCTCGTAATTACAACTAGATAGGTACTTATTAAGTAGCAGAGTAGGTAATATATATGTTAAATAACTAGTTAGGAATTAATATAGTTTAAAAATTCGTGGAAATTATATATTATCAAATTAATAATGGTCGACCACTTCATCCCTAAATAAATATATACGACCTACTTGTAGGAAAAACCTAGATTGAAACCTGTATAAAACAATTTTAAGTACCTATTCACTAGAAGTTTTTCAGCCACTACGTAAAATTATATGGAATGTTATTAAATTCGGTAGATATTTTTATTGTTGATCGAACTCAACTCTCAGGGTATTTCGATCATATAGAATATTCGAATATACGATAGATTATTTAAATATTTATGATGCGTTTCGGAGAAATTTGTAAAGCAAAGTTAGCCTTGGTCAATATATGGCTTTGGGATCTTAAATATATATTTTTTTAATTCTCACTCTCATATAGTCTTAAATTATTTCTGATGCAGGTATGCATAGCCTAATTGTCTAATTTTAAAATCTATAACAATCACTTTCAAAGCTATACCGATTGTAATAGAGCCTCACAGAAAACCGACGTGAAGCAACGCTTGCGTTGTGTTTCGTCGTGTGAGTGAGGGTACCGGAGGCCCAACTCCTTCCTACTCCCTTCCCTATACCCCTCAACCCTTCCCTCCAAGGCCGGCAGCGCACTTGTAGCCCCTCTGGTGTTGCAGGTGTCCATGGGCGACGGTAATCACTTACCATCAGGTGATCCGTCTGCTCGTCTGCCCCCTATCCCATAAAAAAAAGAGACATAATAGAAACTTGGTAATTTAAAGTTTTATTATTTAAGTTGGTAATTTTAAGTTTTATTAGTTAAGTTGGTAATTTAAAGATATACTACATCTAACGCTTGCCTTAGAAAATTCTAATTATCAAACGTTACCTGAATTAGTGATATCGTTCATTCAATATTTAAAAAAAAAATGTCACGATCGCAGTCTCTATCACATGTCAAATATTTATAGCCGTGAAGTTCGCGAATATCAAATGTGTAATTGAAAGGAATTGCGATCGATTTT